CGGGGGGGGGATATGTGGTGGGGGGCTGCACACCCACCTACACACATCCCCAGAACCCCCCACACCTCCCACACCCCTTCATAACCCCTGCACAAACCCCATACCCACCCACAAACCCCACATACTCCCATACCCACCCAATTCCTCCCACACACCCCATACCCCTTCACAAACCCCACTCCTCCCAAAACCACATACAACCCCCCCCACACCTTTACAAATCCCCCTCACATACATACTCCACCCCCACCCCCAACTACACAAAGTACTTGCATATATTTCCAAAGAAGGTTCAAATAGTGTTATATTTTAATTTGGTAAAAAAAAAAAATGTAATTAATTTTGCATAATTTTGAGTTTTCCTGCTCATCATTTTGATTTTTTCTGCACATAATTCCCTGAAGTGTATATAGAGAGAACGAGACAACATACACTGAAGACGAGCACTGAAGCATTAAGAGACTTGTTCAGGTTCAGACAAGAATCTTGTGGAAGAGTTAGGAACCTTCATGTTTGGAGTTCCTATCTAATGCATTAGCCTCAAAATTACTTTTCTTCCCTTAGTCAAGTTGAACTACATTTGTTCCCCCCATAGCCATTTTCAGAGGCATATGGCATTGATCAGCTAAGTCAGCCTATTTGCTGCTGTTCTCTTCAACTTCCATATAGTCTAGCGTTTTTTAAAATTATGCTCTTACAGGTATTTTTAAGCTTTTGAAGGCCTGAACCCTTAGTCCTCTGGAGTTTTTGAGATCCATCATGTATGATGATCCCACATCAAAAACAAAAGCCTCAAAACAGCATGACTTGTGTAGTGGTCCATAATCTAGTAAGTGTTTGTCCAAAGAACCCTAATGAACCTCATGGACAGAGGGCTAGTTGCTGAGGAAGGAAATGTGCACTGGTAGTGTGGCTTCCAGGAAGGAACTAGAGTCCTTGAGGAAGAGAGGATAACTGGTTGTCAGCCCTGACAGGGGTTATCTAAGAAGTCTATCAGTGCAATTTGAGTCATGCAAAAGTCAATAAACAAAAGCTTCAAAGGTTTGCCCATACTTTTATTATATGTACAAACTTTCCAAATGCTTCATATTTATGGTGATGAATTTGAATGTGAACTCTAAGCTCTATTCGAAACGTTAGCTTAGCTGTAAATTATGAACCCTTCTTTTGGACTTTACAAATCTTTGCCACATCAGCTGGTAGATTGCACTAGTGGTGGAAAACTGAAAACGCCTGGATGTACAACAGCTGAGCTTCACCCAAAATATTTCTTCTTCTGTTCACAAAATAACTGGTTGTGCTTATGATCATCTTTTTCCTTGCATCACATTCAAATTCATCTAAAAATACATTGCAAAGGAAGTGGATAAAAGGAAAGTGAGCTTTATGATCTTCACAAATCGGTGATTACTAAAAGACTGGAAAAGGTAGCAATGATCATTGACAGAAATATCCACTTTCCAAAGTTATCCAATGCTATCATGTTCAAACACTGCCTGTTTTCAGTTTTTCAGAATACTTAGTCATTCAATGCCTCACATTGCTGAAGTTCAGAAAAGCACTACTTAAATACATGTGGAGGATAATGCAATATATTTGTGTGCATATGTGTGTATCTTAACAAATAACTGAAATCATTGCAGCTTGCAAAATTAGCCACAGCTCTCTTGCAGACCTTAGCAACTGAATAACTGTAAAAACATTAAGCAATATGGAAGCAGCAGAAATGTTTCATACAAAGTAATTTCTGCAGTATGGAAAATAATAATACAATATACTAAGTGTTATGTTTGTTTGTATATTTGTATATCCATATACTCAGTAGCATGTATATTTTTTGAGTTTCTATTTAGGCTTTTTTCTTGCACCTGAGGTGCCCAAAGAAGGCAGTTCACACAACAGTGAATGCTTCCTTGTTCAATTAGTCTTCTGAATCCCATAATAAAGTTTGCTACCACATACAATGTTTATCAGCCATGCCATTCTATTGCAGCAAATTATTAGGTTGCTTATGAACATTTATTACACAGCTAAAGCACTGAGAATAATCTCCACAAATGGGTTTTATAAATTCATAGAATCATGGAAAACTAGGGTTTGAAGGCACCTCAAGAGGTCATCCAATCCCCAACCCCTTCCCCTGCTCAAGGCATGATCATCCCTGTTGTTTGATTTCATAAAAGCCAACCTCTCTGTTATGCTTAGGGCCAGGCGGTGTCTTGTATTTGCATGGAGTGGGATTATCAGGGGCAAATTAAGGCATGGGCCCAGGGGGGCCTCTGTCAATCAGGGCCCCCATGGGAAAAATTCATAGGGGAGGCTAACTGTGTGTGCCAGGGATGAGCTATGACCACCTGCCTTCCCGCAGGCACCGTGGCACTGGAAGACACCAGACAGGACACCAGACACGAGGCTGAGGCCGAGGTGGAGTTGATGCATGTGGGGTCCAGCAAGGGCCCTGTCCCAGGCTGCAGGCAGCGTTATGGGAAGAGCCAGTTGCAGTGCAAGTGCATAATCGGGGGCCTGGTGGTGCTGCCCAGCACACACCCTTACTTGATGGCCCTGCGACCAGGGCAGCCATTCTGTGGGGGCAGCCTCCTCGCCTCATGCTGGATGCTCATGGCTGTGCACTGTCTGCAGCACCGGCAAGGCTCTGCGGGCGGCTGGGTACGGCTCTCCAGACCAGTTTGGGGAGGGTTGGGTGGGGAGGCAGCGGCCCCCGGTGACAGCTGTTTGTGCGCAGCAGGCCTAGCATCTCTGAGCATGGGGTCAGGTGCAGGCTGACCTGCTACAGTGCTGATGCCCGTGGCTCCATGGAGCTGCAGATGGAGAACTATGTGCTCCACAACAACTACTCCCAGGCCACCAAGCACCATGACATTGGTGAGTCCCCAGCCCAATTGTGGCTTCAGGACCCCTCCCTCCCCCTCAGCCATGCAAGGTACCCCCATGCCTCCCCTTAATATACCCATGTTTATAATGGGGCGTGGCAGGCCTCCAATTTTCTGTTTGCTCAGGGTCCCAATAAATCTTAATTTAGCACTAGGTGGAATATTTTCTCTTCTTCTGTTCTGTACTAGGGTTAGTGAAGAATCATGCAAAGACCTGGTCAATCCCTTCAATCTAGATGGTGGCAAATTGCTCTGTAAGCCACTGATAAAGTCAGGGAGGAAGCAGCTGAATCCTGCAGCTTGCCCATTGCTGCCTAAAAAGCAGTCAGCATTGGCACATGAGGAGGCTTTCTTATGTTATTTCTCAAGTCGTTCTCAATAAGAAACCTGGTAGCTAATTTTTTTCTTTCTAATCACTCTGCTTAAATTTAGTCTTTAACATGTTCCATATCTAGTTTAGTATAGAAGATGGCTAATGTTTTAAATCTTATCAGGTCAATAAAATTTCCTAGTGGTAACAGACTTTTTTACTTGAAAGGGGAATTTCTTGTTTAAACTTTCTAACCTGCTGGAACAATAACTCTTCGTTCATTGGTTGTCATGTTTGGTGGTGGAACATGTTTCTCTTCCATGTAGCTTCCATAATTCATCCCAACAGTGTCAGAGCTGCCAACCATCTTTCCTCCTTTTGCCACACTGCAGTCATCAGGGGAATTCCTACAGAAATGATAAAAAATGCTTAAATGATTATACTACCCGTATTACAATTTTCAATAATAATAACATTAATGCTATACAAGCTAGAAAGAAAGATTTTATTGTAAGGACAGGCCAGTTTTTGGAAACTGTGGCAACTAGCATCAAAACTGATTTGGGACCTGCTCTGAAAATGTGACTGATTTCAATACACTGCTTTATATCAGGCAAGGCTCTGGCCTGACGTTCAAACCTACAGCTGCCAGAAATTAATTTTTGAGGGTCAGGCTAGAATTGGACTTTGCTGGTGATTGTTCTAGGCTTGATGGCCATAAGCAGCTATGCGGCTGCTTTCTGTAAATATGTTATGGACTAGAGAACATTTGAAAACAAACCTGGTCCACAGAAAGCAGGAGATGTGAGAAAAAAACTGTCACAAGCTGTTTAGTTTTGGAGTACTTTCTCCCTCCAATGTGGTTATTGTTACACTAAGCTGATGCTTATTTGCCTATCGTATACTGCAGTGTAGACATTCTTCTATATATGGCTTACACAAGGGGCACTTTTGGCAAAGCTGTGATTCAAAATATCACAAGCACGATAGGGGTAAAAAACTTTCAGGTCCTGACTAGTAGAATCTCCATGGTTCTCTAGTTAAGCACTGAAAGTCTGCAGAGGATCTGCAACCAGACATCTCTTTAATTTTGGCTTTGGTTTCTGAATAGAGCCTTTAGAGTTTAACATTCCACAGAGGGGTTCCCTAATGGCCTTTTAATAGCATCACGATTTGCTTCCTGCCAGACATAGGCATATTTAACCCTTAGTTTAAGGTCTACAGTATGTTTCATCATACAACCAAGAATTGCTTCACAAATCAAAAGGAAAGGAATACAATCCTTGAAACAGAAGGGAGATTTTTTTTCTTCTTATGCAGAATTGAGATCATAAACATCCATGTAATTCTACTATTTAATAGGCAGATCTATTCTCTGGTTGTATATAGCAGGCAAAAAGTCATGTTAGATTAGACTACAAAAAGTCATGTTAGATTAGACTTCTATCTACAAAAATATTACTCTCAAGACATTTTCTTTTCCTTGAACACTTTATCCCATAAAAGGTTTTTGCACCTCAGTCTTGGCTTCTCCCAAACCCAATCAATTAAAGTCAGCATAAATGAGTGGATCTTTTACGTACTGAAACAGGAAAGCATGGGTCAGGGCAGGCCCATGTGGTTTTTACATGTGGTTTTTACCAAAGGCACAGACATAAGTGATAGTTCTTGCCCAATCTGGCCCCTGAAAATGCCCTGCAGCCGTAACCAAACACAAGTACATGACTGCAGAGTGCTTTAAAATGGCCCAATCCCACAAAAAATCTGAACCCTCATTGCATGAGGGTTCAGATGAAGATGCTCCAAAACACTTCAGTCCTATGCCAAGGATCTCTATACCAAGGTTCTTTCTTCTGAATTAACAGGGTTAATCCAGCAAAGGATATGAATAATTCATTTTTTTCTCTTCACTATGCAGTGTTTTACATTTGTCAACTTTCATTTTCATTTGTAATCATATTAGTCATTCTTCCATGTGCGTTAGGTTCTTCTGGTGTCCCTCACATTCATCTTTAGATCTGATTAATCTAAATAATTTTGTGCCATCACCAAATTTGGTTTAACCTTTTTTCCATGAAGAAAGATTTCCATTTCTCAATCCTAGTTTACTGTCTGAAACCAGGGCTTGATCCATGAAAATATTATGCCCCTTATCTGGACTACTTAAGTTTTATAGTAACAGCTTGTGGTAAGACATATGTCTTGCCAAATACCTTTCAAAAGTCTAAATAAATTATATCAGTTGGTTCCTCTTAATCTACTGCTTTACTGATTTGTTCAAAGAAGCATAATAGGATAGTGAGGGAAGAAATTGTGTGGGGTAGATATTATATTATGCTTTTGTACATGATTTATTATTCAGTTTTTACTAAATCATTCAACTAATTAATCAAGTACACACATATATACTTCGTTACTGGTCTGCAATTTTCTGAATTTTCCTGAGACCATACAGGCTCAACATTTGCTATACAGCAGCCTTCTGGTATAATAAATATTGTTTGAGAAAGATCGTGTATTTTTAGTAGCGCTCAGATGTATACCACTTTGGTTAAGTAACTGACTGCTTTTCCAGGTATTAGTTTCCTTCAACACCTTCTTCCAATAACTCATACTACTGAATGCATCTACACATGCCATCGAGGCACTGTGATAAACTCTGGTGCAGTTTGTGCTGGAGTTTATCACAACACCTTAATGGCATATGTAGATACTCAAACTGACACAATCCAGGACACATGTGCAGATGCTGCACTTAGGACTGAAGTAGTTTGAACCAGGGTGGAGCAGCCCCAGGCTGGGAGGGAGTCCGGGGGGTCAGCCCTGGGTTCCAGGAGGCAGTGTCAGGCTGTGGAGGGGCTGGTTAGGTCACAAGTGTGCCCCAGCTTGCAGAGCCCTGTGGCTAGGTGATAGGCAGCAGTGGGCTCCAGTCCACCTGCCCCACCCTCCAGTGCCAGCTGCATAACCCCCAGAAGGAGATCCCTCTGCTTCCTTTCCTTCATTCTATTCTGAAAATACTGCCCTGCCTGGGAGGGTTGAGCAGCATAGGCAGTGGAAGCCTGGGGCTTAAGGGAGACTTAGTCCCCCCGAAAATTAATTTTGTGGTGGCTGGTGACAGTGGCAGCACCACTGCACTGCTTGACATGCAGCTGGTCCAGTGTCCCACATGCACTCAGCTCCACGCAGCTGAGGAAGAAAAGGCTAACTCTGTGCATGCATTGTACTGCACAGAGCACGATAGGAGTTGTTGTTCTCATGCTGATGCATGCACTCAGCTCCCCAACTAATATTTTCTCCCTCCATCTATGGGGCGTGGTGTTGCTAGGGGAGAGCAGCTGCAGGCTCACAGCTGCTGTAAACAGCAGTTTGATCTCCCAGCTCCCAGGACTCAGCAGTGAATGTCTGTTGGATCCAGGGGATCATTGTAACTCATTGCGCTTCCTGCAAAGTGCCATGAGTTATAATGGGGAACTGCTCCTCTGTCTCTACCTCAAGTGTTTCAATATGAGTCTTGCAAGCTGCCCAGTTCAGATGATTTAGCCTTCTAGTACAAGCAAAGCATGGGTGTGTCAAAGGGGAAATCTGTAGATGTCCTAAATACAGATGCTTTCACAGAACTGCTTTGCATTTGTCTGAGGACAAAAAGGGAAAGGTACACACTCTTTGTCCTATAGTCCACACCCTGTATTCAAAAGGAATATAAAGAGATAGTTTCTAAATATTGCCTTAAAGTACAGAACTAATTCAAGCTTGCTTCTTTTTTAAAGTAAAGATTCATTTTCAAAACCCTGATACATTTGGTGTTCAAATATTCAACAAACTTCCAAATAAAAGGTCCAGACTTCAGGTTTCAGTTCAGCAAGTTAATGAAACACATGCCTAAATGCAAGCACATTAATAGTCCTATTGAAGGCAACACTAGTCATTCTCTAAAATACCTTGCCGACTTAGAACTTACATAGTTTCTAATGTATTGTTTCTGAGAGAATGAAAAAAAATGTTTCATTCTGAAATAACTTCATACCTATGAATTTACTGCTTTGCCATTGCTGTCTTGCTGCAATGTGATGACAGCATGCAAACAACAAGAAAA